TCAATAATGACAGTCCACAGGGGGGGGAGGGGGGGAGGGCGTGAGAGGGGATAGGAGAGGAGGAGATGCGGGAGGGGGAGAGGTTAGGAAAGATGGGGGAGGGAGGGGTGAGGATTTAGGGAGATGGGCCGGAGGTAGGTGATGGGGGGGAGGGGGGAAGAGGGATCAGGGAGATCGGGAGGGGGAGAGGGAGAGGAGAATGAGGGGACGCTAGGAGATGGGGAGGGAGGCACGCTATGAACAGGGGGGAGGGGAGAGGGAGATGGGGAGGGGAGCGACGAGAGAGATGGGGATAGAGAGAGATAAGGGAGGTAGAGGTGATGAGGGAGGAGAGGCATAGAAGCATGGAGGCGGGAGGGGAAAGGGAAGGAGAGGGAGTGGGTGGGAGGGTGAGGATAGGGAGAATGAACAGGGGAGGGGAGAGGGTGACATAGGAGGATAGGGAGGTAGGAGATGAGGGAGATGGGGAAGGTTAGGATAGGCCGAAAGGGCACACGATGGCGCTGCGTCTGGTAGGACGGGTAGAATATTGGGCGGGAGGGAGATAGTGAGGATAGGGACGGAGGAATATTGGGGGGAGGGGAGGATAGGGCAGATCGGGGGGAGGGGGGAGGCGAGAGGGAGTATGCGGGATAGAGAGGATTAGGAGATGGAAGGTGGTGTGAGCAACGGGGTTAGGTGAGGATAGGGACGGTAGTGGAGATGGTGCGGGAAGTAGTGTGAGGGAGAATCGGTGGGTAGAGGATCAGGAGGTAGGAGATGGGTGGGAGAGAGAATGGGCACGAATGGGGGAGAGCGCGAGAGGGGATAGAGAAATAGGAAGGTAGGATATTGGGGGGATGCGTAGGAAGAATAGGGGGGATGGGGGAGATAGAGGGAAGAGGCGAGATGGGGGGAGGGTAGGGAGAGGGGATAGGGGAAGAGGATAGGACGGATAGGATATTGGAGGGGAGGGGGAGGAGAGGGGATAGGCGAGGATAGGACGATAGATGAGATGGGGGGGAGTGGGAGGGAGAGGGAGAATGGGGGAGGGAGGGGAGAGGGGTTTAGGGAGGATAGGGATGGTAGGAGATGGGGGGATAGGGGTGGAGGTGGGCGGTAGTAAGTTAAGGGTTGGGGAGTTGGCAGATGAAGAGGGAGATAGGGAAGAGGAATTTGGGACGTGAGGCAGTGTCGGGAGAAATGGTCGCGTAGCGGGGAGTAGGGGAGTTGGGAGGGGGCCGTAGGGAGTAAGGACGCGGAGTAAGAAGAAGAGATATAGTCACTTAAGAGTAAAAGCGTGATAGGGAAGAGGGGAGTGAGGGGAATAAGTAAGTATGGCGGTGAGATAAGAGATAGAGATAGAGAGAGAGGGAGGAGCGGAAGAGGAGAGGCCAGACAGAAGGGAGAGACAGACAGACCAAGGGACAGACAAAGTGTGATTGTATTAAGAGAGAGAAAGAAAGAGGGAGGGAGAGAAAAGCGAAGAACAGAACACAGATAAACAGAGTTATAGAAATAGAGAAGGAGAGAGAATAGGAGATGGGGAGGGGATTTGCATGTGTTAAATAAACATTTTTAAACACATGTGGTTATCTGCAGGTAAATGTTTCATCAAAATACCCGTAAAAAAATATCAATAATTAAACAAACATCTAAAAAAAAACAAAATCTAAACAAACAAACATAAACACAACCATACGTATCAAAACAGCCGCACCTACACCCGTATTTATAAAACGGAAAACGAGTCTTAAAACCAGCATAAATACGAGTGAATATTCATATACATTGAAGAGCAATGTGTAGCTGGATCGTGGAGTTCCATGAAGTGAAGAGTTTTTTTTTTTATCTTTTTTTCTCATTCCACATCGACGTGGGAGGAAGCTCCTGTGCCAGTGCCAAGAGAAATACGTTGCCAAGAGCTGCAGGGTGCCAGTCGCGCGTGGGTGCCAAACGGAGAGAGTGCCAGGTCGCTATAGTAAATGTGTGGCCAGTTTGACGAACAGGTTTCCTGGGACTGCGGGTTTTTTTTTTTTTCTTTCTTCTCTCTCCTCTCTCTCATCTCTTCTCTCTCTCTCTCTCTCCTCTCTCTCTCTCTCTCTCTCTCTCTCTCCTCTCTCTCTCTCTCTCTCTCTCTCTCTCTCTTCTCTCTCTCTCTCTCCCTTCTTCCCTTGTCTCTTTCCCACTGCTTTCGGTTTAATTTCATTTCTCTTTCCCTTTTTTTCTCTTTTTTAATCTTCACCATCTCTCTCCTCACCAGCCCGCCCATATATATATTATATATATATATATAACCCTATATATATACATATATATATATATATATATACAATATATATATATATACATAAGTATAATATATACATATTATATATTAATGCTAAATTATATATGTATACACCCCACACACACCACACACACATATATACATATATACATATATAACATATACATATACATATATACATATAATATATATATATAATAATCCATATGTATAATTACTATATACATATATATATATAATATAATATAATATATATATATATATATATATATATATATATACGCATACATGTCTATACATATTTCTATACACAAATATATTTAATTGACAGTATGACGCTAGGGTGTCTAGGCGAGGCCGTACTCATGGCGCCTGTGGCTCGGCGTGGCTGTTGCGGCGGCAAGGGAAAGCGTGCCCAGTGACAGGGTACCGTAACTGCGTGATAAACTGGCAAAATTTCCTGAACTATTTTGCATGAGGAGCTGAGCAGGCGACTCAGATCATAATTTAACTCGAGAGCGAAAAGAGGGCTTATAATTGCCTTCTCGGTTGCTGTTTGTACAGTCCATCTTGACCTTTAGAGGCCGTCTCGCCCGCCTTATAAGGTCTCGAGGCTTTGTTTCCATTTTAAAATCCATATAATTCCTTTTTTCCTCCCGCTGGGCGTCGACCCTCGCACGGCAAAATCTACAAGGTTACATTTCGGCCCATGAATACCCCCATATTTTACATCAGCCTCCATTTATGCAAGACAAACTACATGGCACCGGATAGTTCACCACCCTGCCATGCATTCCCCGGCAACAGCTCACATCGGCGGCAAACTGGCTAGGCCGCCCACGCCGGTCGCCACAAATTTGAGAATCGGACGGGCGGCGCGATGAGCGGGATCCTTCTGTCGTGGTAAACAGTCTCCCGAGCGAGTTATTGACATTATGAATCACAATGCTATCGGTGCCAATACGTGTAAATTATTTGAGTTGCAATTGCACTCCGGGTATTAGTATTGATTATTGAATGTTTGTTTGTATCGTCCGGAATGATGATATTGGATAAAATGATGTTATTGCAAACGTTTCGGCAAATTGTTTTGTTCTGTCTCTCCGCTCTCGGTTGCAAGGTGGAAGATTCCATGTAATATTATCTTTTTTCTCTCTCTTTTTATAGTGATTGCAATCCTTGTATTTTGTATATTATAGAAGGTTCTAGTGAGAGCGTTTGTAATGGCGGGTGAAGGTGGATACAGTTTGTGTTTATTTGGAATCTGCATTTATTTCGAATTGGAAATTGGGGGATGTGATGCACTTTTGTTTACACGCGCGATTTTCACTTTTTTTTTTTTTTGCCAGTCTTCTTGTTCATTTATTTAGCTGCGTGTTGGTTTACCTATTCATTTTACCCGTTCATTCATTTATTCACACACGCATTCGCTCTTTTATTTATCTCCTGGGATGATAAAAGAATAATTTGAATTTGATGGAATCTTTTACCCTTTGTTAGTTTTTCATTTATTTTCATATTTTCTTTTCAACAGTCCGCTTTCTCTTTCCTGTTCCCCTTCGCCTTTCTTTCTTTCTGTAATTTCCTCTTGGTCCTCTTTCGCTCTCTCCTCTCCCCTCTCCTGCTCTGCATATCACCATTATCTCTCCCTCTCCCTCTTCCCCTGTTTCTTTACCCTTCCCTCTTCCATCAAACATTCTCCTCCTTGATGCTTGCTTGCTCTGTCTTTTCTTTCTCTCCCTTCCTTTCTTTATCTCTCTCTATTCTTTACTCTCCCTCTCTCCTTTATCTCGTCTTCTCTCTCTATTTCCCTCTCTCTCTCTTTCTCTTTCTCTTCTCATCTCTTTCTCTCTCTTTCTCTTTCTCTCTCTCGTTTCTCTCTCTCTTTCTCCTCTCTTTCCTCTCTTTCTCTCTCTTTCTCTCTCCCTCTCTCTCTCTCTCTCTCCTCTCTTCTTCTTTCTCTCTCCTCTCTCTCCATCTCTCTCTCTTGTTCTCTCCTCTCTTCTCTCTCCTCTCTTCTCTTCTCTCTCTCTTTTCTCTCTCTCTCTCTCTCTCTGTCATCTCTCTCTCTCTCTCTCATCTCTCTCTCTTCTCTCTCTCTCTCTTCTCTCTCATCTCTCCTCTCTTCTCTCTATTCTCTCTCCTCATCTCTCTCTACTCTCTCTTCTCTCTCTCTCTCTCATCTCTCTCTCCTCTCGTCACTCTCTCTCTCTCCATCTCATCGTCTCTCTCTCTCTCTCGTTCTCGTCAACGTTCGCTCATACTCCTCCCTCCTCCTTTTCGCCCTCTTTCCATGTTCCTACCGGTGAGAGAAAGGGAGGGATGGAGAAAGGAAGAGGTGAGGAGAGAGCGAGAGAGGAAGGAGGGGGGAGGAGGGTGACAGAGGGGAGAGAGGCAAGAGGGAAGGGAGGGGGGAGGCAGAGGGAAGGGGAGGAAGGGCAGGAGGTAGGACAGAGGGAGAGAGGCAAGAGGGAGGGTAACAGAGAGGGGAGAGAGAAGAGGGAAGGGGATGGAAGGGAGACAAGGAAGGAGGAAGGAGAGGGAGGCAGGGGGAAGAGGGCAGGAGGAAGGGAGGGAGAGGGAGAGAGGGGAAGAGGGCAGAGGGGAAGGGAGGAAGGGAGGGCAGAGAGGAGAGAGAGGAAGGGAGAGGGGAAGGGTAGAGGGAGAGAGGCAAGAGGGAAGGGAGGAAGGGAGGGCAGAGGGGAGAGAGGCAAGAGGGAAGGGAGGAAGG